TTTCATTTTATTTGTGTCCTTTTCTTTTTGATCAATCTGAGGCACTTGTGTAACTATCTTGCATGCTGCAATTGCAACCGCATACTCGGAGAGCATCATGTCGTCGTCTGTCCAGCCAGAGACGAAGTCTAGCATAGCGTTTGGGTTTTGAGGGATCAATGGAATCAATTGGTTTTTGTTATTTAGAGATAATATACGGGCACCGCGCTGTCTGCACAGAGTGATATTGCAACAAATCAACAGCGAATGTTAACTCTGTCCTTCCTGTCTTCTCAACATAGAAAGTACCTCTCACGAACAGACCGGAAACTGATTCCGAAGAGACTAGCTTAGCCCCCTACTAGTACCCCCCCCCCCCCCATAGAATCTATTTGATTTACTACTTTCCAACCGAGCAGGAAGGAATCCACCACACCCCTAGTTATCCAGTAAAATTCCATACTCAATTAGCCCTCCGATTCCATTTCCAAACCCTCTACTCCGTATGCAGAATGATCCGCCCAGAACACGCAACAGAACGTAATGGAATTCAGAAATATCTTCCTGGATATTGACACCGGCCCCCTCTCCTTAGTTTCTGTTAGTGCCGGTCTACTGTTCTGGATAGTAGTACTATATATCCTGTGGATCGGGTTGAAAAGGGGTAATGGTCACTCGTCCTATCATTGTTCTGTGGGTTTGGGGTTTGAGTATGCTGGTGCTAGTTGGGGGCTGTTGGGAGTAGCTTTGGATAGTTGAGTGGGATTTTTTCTTGTGGAAGGATACTAAGCTGTGATGGTATGTCCATGCAGTTCCCGTTGTACAATAAATAGAGTCTACGAGAGAGTGGATGCTGATTTACACTATAAAATGCAATATGCGGATCACGACAGGGAAAGAAACTTTTCCGATTTTTTTAATTTAAATGTTCCAACCCAACCGAGCAAGACCCGACCCGGACGGTATCGTAAAAACAGAGAAACCCCATCATTTCATAGAGTAACAAAAGGTATATCTAATATGGAAATGAAGAAGATTTTCCCAGTTTACTCCTCGTCGACGACAGCGGTGTGAAGACCCTTGGTCTCCTTGACGTTGACGGCGTAGACCATGGAGTAGAGCTTCTCCTTGGCGCCCTCCTCGTCGTTACGCTTACGGGAGATGCGGACACGGAGACGGTAAGGAACGCCCTTGACACCGGCCTCCCAGACCTTCTTGTTCAACTGGGGGTCGACGCGGACATCCTTGGTGCCCTGTACCAAGTGCACATTGTCGTCAGTCATGGATGCTCTTTGGAGTCGAGTAGGTATACAGGAAGAAAAAAAAGGGAACATACCATAGCACGCTCAGTGAAGGCCTTGATCTCCTTGATAGCACGAGGAGCACGCTTCTTGAAGGAAACACCGTGCAACTATACCCACAAAAAGTTGAATTAGTCTTCCGCCCGAATGCCATCTGGGAAATATGATCTTGAAAAAATCTGCGAACAAGATTTGCGGCCATAGAGGTGGACTTCATAAAACTAATTCTTCTTTTTTGGTCTTGGTTTCTTGGGAACACCAGATAATTGTTCCTCCACACACACGCAAAAGCAGGCATGTTTCATCCCTTCCTTTTTTCTGTAGATGTATTCCAATCCACCGAGAAAAGGTTTTGGTGCCAGAAGGATTATTGCAGTGTTCTCCGTCCATTGCCTCCATGTCGAAACTTGGATGTTTGTTCTTGTTCCGCAGATCGGGGGGGGTTCGATCGATGAGAAATGCGACCGATGTGTGCAAGGTAGGGATAAGAGAAGACCAAAGAGTCTCATCCTGTTGTATTTCAACGTACTCTCTTGTGCATGTTGATGGTGTACTCGCGCGAGACGACATCGGCGATGGCCGAGCGCTGCTTCTTGCCGGTCTGAACGGTGGTGGACATTTCTGATTTTTCACCGGTTGGTTAGTGGTCTCAAACCGATTGAGATTTATTTTTCACAGAGCGATGGATATCGCAATATAGATGGTTTGCAGGAGAGCTACTCACTGAATGAGTTGACGAGGCGTCGGCTGTCGTTGGCTGAAGTGCTGTCGTGAGTATTGAAGATTTTCGGACGGCTCTCGTTTTTCCTCGTCGAAATTCAGTGTGTCTCGCTTATCGTCCCGGAGCCCCTCTCATTGGCTGCGGACGAGTCACGTGACTATCCATGTCATGACATACTTCAAGGAACAGGCAGGCCATCACACTACTCAATGGCTAATGTTCTTTTTCAGGTGATGCTGAATAATGAACGGATACATAACAACAGTTACCTGACATTCTTGGACATATCCTCTGCTCCGGTCAAAGAGCACGTTGGTGAGTACGTACTAGTACTGCGTGGATACAATGCCACGTGACCCAGAGGTATAGTCCTTCTGGATTGGGTATAGCGCATATGATATACTCTTACATTGCCCTAATTCAATGGAGCGCAGTTGATTTGGATGGACATTGTTATGGTCGGTTTTTTGGTGTATTGCTTCAAGACACCAAGCATTCCAACCGCCCACCATTAAGCCTCTAAATCTTATCACTAGTGCAACTCAAGGCCTTGGGGTAGCCACAGTGCAAGTAACATGATATCATTCTCCTATTGGTGCCCGCGCCTTGCAGTACCCTATGGAAGCATTACGATCCTAACTAGAAAAAGTACAGACGTGGGTCGGGTGCAGCGCGGCGTATTTCTTTAAAGGTATTTCAGGACCTGTTAGTAAAGAGTCTCGGGCTGCTACAAGAGTATCATCGAACTTTATACTATCAGTACTACTTCTGGCGGTGTATAAGCCACTAGGTTCGATTAACCGTTATAAGCACTGGATATCATGACTCGATTCGTGTTACTCCTAGGCACTTCATAATGACAGGCCTATTTCCCGGCGCTCACATCGGGGTACAGGTCAAACCGCCTCTGTGTATAGACAGGAATGCCTTTCCGTATGCTTTGAATACTGTCATTATCCAGATCAGCATAGACAATAGTCTCTTTATCCTCCGCTTCTACCAGGACTTCCGCAGCTGGGTTGGTTATCAAACTGTGACCCCATGCGTGGTAAGTGGCATCCATATCGCGCGCCGGGCTACACAGCCCCACATACACCTGGTTATCCACTGCACGAGCGCGTGCCAACAGAGACCAGTGCATGGGACCAGTAGTCATGTTGAAAGCGCCCGGGTAGATGAGTGCGAAAGCGCCCTTTCGCGCAGCAATCATGGCCGCCTCCGGGAAACGGATATCGTAACAGATGGCAACACCGATCTTTCCATAGTCGGGAAGATCAACAATTGTCAACTGGTGTCCGGGCGATAGGACCTCGCTCTCCTTGAATGTGATCTTTCCTGGGATGTCGATGTCGAACAGATGGGTCTTGCGGTGGGTCCCTATTAACGACCCAGTGGGGGAGAACACGAGGGATGTGTTATAGTATTTCTTCGTTGTGGGTTCCAGTTCGGGGATGCTACCTCCTACGAGGTAGGCCTTGGCCTCGGCAGCAATGGCTGACAGGGCATGATAGGAAGGAGATTGATCTTCGGTAGGAGGCGAAGGAACAAGAGTCTCGGCGTACTTGGGAAAGTATTGGGTTCCGTATGGCGAGTTGAAGCATTCCGGGAGGACGATGAGCTTGGCTCCAGCCTGTGCTGCCTCAAGGACCTTAGTGCGAGCGTGGGCCAAATTAACGGCTTTGTCCGCGCCTACTCCATCGTGCCAGGCTCGCAGTTAGTCCGGAGTTGATCAGGGGCGTTTTAACGACGATCGCATAGGTGAAACATACCGGAGGCGAGCTGCACCAGGGCTAGTTTCAACGGCTGCTTCAATAGAGCGGCCATGGTTCAGGTCGGTAAAGACGGAATACGACTAGATGGAGGGAGTGTTGAAGAGGAAGTCTGTGCCTGCTGCGGGGGTTGTACAGGTTTAGGGTATAGATAGTGTCGGGGTTGGAGACTGTTGGAGTAATGAGTTAAATGAAGAGACCCGCTCCTATCATGACTGGCCTTAACTATCGGAGTCGGCGTCGGCACCCACCTCCGAGCCCCGGGGCACTTAACCGAGTCACTGGAGTACGACGGACTATCCCGTTCGTTCCACTCCTAGAGACTTCCTCCAGTGAACTCAGCTGAAGGTATGGTCTTGACAGGTCGGTCTCATAAATGATACGTAGTCTATCGTGGTCGTTATCTGACACATGCGCGCCTCGCATGGTTTCGATCCATCACAATTCCTTCGTGATCACGTAAATCACCGAACCCAGAGGCTGAGATTCACGACGGATTGCATAAGAAACCGAATTAGTGTTTCATTTTAGGACAACCACTCGGATAACGCCGTAGTAACCGAGTAAGACCGTTTCGGAGGAGATGTACGGAGTGGTACGCTGGAGGAGCACTAATCCTTAGCGACGATGACTCTGCAGTGCAGTTTAATTTAATTCTTGGGCTGAATACGGGGAATTGCAAACGCTGCAAAAGGCTTTTAATTGGCCGGGATCACGTGTGACGAGTCTGGCCGGAGTCGATTTGGTGAAGGAGAGAAAAAAAAACCAATAACTTGGACTAAGTCACATCGGAAACCCCTGAGAAGGAGACGCACTGATCATTGTTCTGCTGGCTCTCTCAAAGCGAAAAGAATATCACTTGAATAGGGGGCGAAAATACCACTCTCGCATGTTCTTTTTAATACGCCGCCTCCTACTTCTCCACATCATCATGATATTCCCACTGACTTCTTCCATCCAAGTTCTGTTCTCGATTCCGGAAAACGTCTCTTGAACTGTACGGCGGCGGCGGTTCGGCAGCCAATTGAAAGTCGTTCAACGGCCTTTCCGCGCGGAACGTTAAGGGCGTTCCCCACGAACTGTTCCATTCGATTTGCCCCCCAGTGGTTCGGTGGTTCCTATTAAGGAGAGAGCGTTAAAAAAAAATAAAAAATAAAAAAAAGGAAAAAGAAAAAATCTCGCAGATTGGCCACCGGACACTAGTGGCCTTATATTTGCCTGGAACGCTCTCCGGTGTCTTCTTACACCCTACCCTATGTCCCCATCCGAGCGGCCTTGATATACTTTACCACACTGTGGCCTGCCACCAGTCAAGGCTACCACGCTCAACGCTGGGAGACATAAGAGTCCACACAATTCACCGCGTCGGATTCTTCGAATTAACACTCGGGATCCCCTATATATTCTCTTAGTGTTTTCGAATCACGGCGAAACTATGTTTGAGGACTTCTCTTTCTCATCCCCCTCGTCCACCAAGCCGCCCCGCCTGGCCTTTGATGGCGACGACAATCTCATGGTCGACTGCGACAGCAGCCTGATCTCTCCTCTATCCTCACGGTGTCCTTCGCCTCGGTCTACCGCGACACACCGGATTCCGAGAGCGTTACCTCGCTCGCGGTCCTCCTACTTCCGTTCCGCTCAACCCCCCACCTCCGTTCCCTTGTCTGCGTATGACGACCACCAGAAGCGTCTCTCGATCAGTATCTTGACAAGAAAACTGCATGAACACACCATCAAGACCTCAAACAATGAGACGCAGATCGGGAGACCCGCCACGCCGACGTCACCCCAGTCCCTCGACATGGCCACCCGGTTCCCGGGATATTTTCTGACCCCTCCAGACACAGACCACGATGATGAGGGTTCCCTGGACTCTCCGTCGCTCACCTCTGGTTCTCTCTCGCCCCAGCCTCAATCCCCTTTTCTGAGTCCCACATCCGTCCCGTGTGATCTCTTCCCGCAAACCGCGGACATGGACCCTCTATCCCACACTCAGGATAGCTGGAACGTCCGCGCCCAGCGCCAGAACATCTCCCGTCTCCAATGCAACCACTCAGAGTTAGAAGCCATTCGCCGGGCCCTCGTCTCCGATGACGAGAAGCTGACCACCACCTTCGACCCAGACGCCTGCCACCCCAGCTCCATCCCCCCGCAAAAGTCCCCGCGTCGAGAGCGGCCACTCTCCAACGGAGCCGGTTCCGCCCCCAATTAGGCCCTAGCCTATTGGACCCGCCCTCGTCCGACTCCAAGGGACGGCGAATGAGCAGCTCCATCCCCGTGCAGGCGTCTCGCATCGAGAAGAGCTACCATTCATCATCCCGGGATCTGCGGAAGAAGAGCGAGCAGGGACTGCGACGGAAGAGTCTTGTCAGTGCTGCTTTGGCGTCGATGGTGGAGAAGGAATGTTAAATCTGTTCTTGTTTTGGGTTTCTCTTCTATTTCCTTTCTTTCAGATGGATATCATTAAACTTTCTTCAACTTATTTTCTCTCTTTCTTCACTTCTTGTCAATGTCGTTACTTGTACATATTAAGGTAGATACCCTGATTGTGTGATTCTCGGTTTGGTTCATATCGGCGGTACGGAGGTAAAGGTTCTGGTGAAACGGTCCACAGCAGAATTGATTCGGTTTTACAGGCATAGACAAATCTGAATATCAGGCCTATTCCGGTCTTCCACATTCTATCCCATGATTACAAGACATATACCACTAGGAGATAAATGGTATCGAAGTACAGGAAGAGAAAAAAGAAAAAAAAAAAAACAGAAAGAAAGAAACAAACGATCGTCAGAGCGCAAAAAGCGAACAAAAGCCGTGCTTTCCAGAAGCACGAAAAAGCGCAAGGTTAAAAGACTCGCTCACAGCAAACGCTTATAACATCATCATCAAAGGAGTCATAACCGCACGGACAGCAAGAACAAAACAACAAAACCTACTTCGCGGCCTTCCTGCGAAACAACCCGTAGAGTCTCCGTAAGGGACCCCTGCGCTTGCGACTGGCGGTGGACCGCCGGGTAGGACGACGGTGGAGTTTGATCTCGGTTCGTGGAGTCATGGTCTGTTCGTTGGAGGGGGGCTTGGTGGCTGGGTCTATGCCGATGTCAAATTGCCAGAGGGCATCCTGGGGGATCATGGGGTGGTTGTTGTTTTTGTCGTCGTCGTAGATGGGGTCTCCGGCTCGCCGAGATCGCTTTCGTTGGTTGGGCTGGTGCATGGCCTGGGGAGGTGGCGGGCCATGTTGTTGAGGGCTGTTTCTTCGAGGAGCTCATTGATGGAGGGCATGAGGTGGTGGTGGAGGAGGCCTTGGGTGTCGCCGATATCTAGTTGGGACTTTCGGTTCTCTTCTTCGAGGGCTTCTTCCGTGTTGGTTTGGACGCGGGCTTGCGGCGGGGGGTCGTAAGACCATGGGTCCGATTCGATGATCACGGTGTCTTCGGTGAATGAGATGTAGGAGTCTCTGTTGTGGCCTGTGGAGAAGCTGTCGACGTCTTCGATGTACGAGACGATGCGAGCGAAGTGGAGTGATTCATGGGGGTTGAGAATCTCGAACGAGGTACCTTGATGGATGATGGTGGCAGTGGGCTTGGTTACATTGAGAAGCATCGAGTCTGAGTATCGCTTTGTGTGTCTGTGGACAGATGCGGGGGGATTGCGTGGGACTGGTTTGGGATCTGAGTCGGGGTATCTCTCGAGTCGATCCCGGAACGAGTCCTGCATGTGCGTATGTTTTGTCAGATTAGCTGCAAAAGCATCGTACACATAGGGCCCGAGTGACATGGCGGCTTACCAGGATCTTGTGGGGGTTCTGATTGAGGTATATATGGTCGTCTACGGAGCTGGGGGTCCCCGGGGCTATATCCGCAAGTAAGCACGGGTCTACTGGAGATACATGGCGGTGATATCCCATACGGAGGAAGCCATCCAGGCTCTCAGACTGCTCGCTTAGAGCGCTGGGTGAATGCGACGGGGATAATGGCGGAGGACTTGACGCTACCGACGAGACCGAGAATGGGTACTCGTAGTGGTGGTCCAGGGACATCTGGGACTGGTTCAAGTTCAATGCGGCGTTCTTTCGCCGTAGCCTTTTGATGTCGGGACTCTCGCTGGTAGCCGAGTCGTAACTTGACAGATACTGGCGGCATTCATGCAGAGAGCGATTCCCTGACATACTACACATGGCGTTCAAGGATGTTGACTGGGAAGAGGAATCCATTGGAGATGATGGAGGTGATGAGGATAGCGGTGCTGGTGTTGGGGCCGTAGCGTCCATGCGGTGAAGATGGATAGAGCTAGGACTACCGTTTGGATCTCTCACACTGCAGCTTCTCAGATCCATAGTCTGAAATCAATAGTCGATCGTTTTTGTTGACCTGTATCAAAGGAGAGAAAGGAACAGGCGGTATGTTCCGTCTGTATCCTGATGCATTGGGAGTGTCTGTGGCATAGCCCTCAGTCCCGAGAGCTCAGTTGGTGTTGGACAATGATGATATCAGCATGGCTTGGGAGGCCTGGATCGGGACCCAAGGAAACCAATGTTCGGGGAAGTCTATTTATTTGATTGAATCGCTGGAGGAGTTCGGGGATATCCACCCAGGTACTGCGACAGGACAAGTTGATATTGAGCAAATGAGCTGAATGAAACAAAAATAAAAAAGTAAGAAATTTGCAACAGAACTACAGAATGACAAAAAACAGAGAGACGAGAGTGAAAAAGAAGAAGCGAAAGCAAAAAAGTAAGTTGCGTCGTCACATTGCCAACATGCAAGCAGTAGTCGTCGACCCACCCAGTCGTAGTTAGTCGCAAGCAACAAGTATGAGAGGAACTGGCGATGACCAGTCCAGCGTTCTGGTTGGGCACCCGCTAACGTGGTCCAATCTCACCGTACAGCCGCAGCCGGATCACTCTGCTTCTCGCACTCACTGGTTCAAGACGTGAAGATCTCCGTTTCACTTTACGACCTCCTGCCAGCCTTGTTCCTCAGGAACCACTCCCATTCGTTCGCGGGTGGCCTGGAACTATTCTTATCCTGGCTTATACTGAGTGGCAACCGTCATCTGCCTCCCTTCACTGGTCCCCTTCTTTCTTCGCTTTCCCTTTTGCTTCTTTTTGTCTTTGCCATTTTCTTTCGTTTCTTTTGGATTATCCCCACCCGACTCGGTGCCTTTCTTTTTCTTCCTTATTTGAATAATGACCATTCTCCCCCACTCAGCCTTGTTGCATGGCCTCCCCTTCGTACCACCGGGGAGTCACACTAAGGAGAAACGAAGAGGGTCACAGAAAAAGAAATAGAAAAAAAGGAAACATGACATGATGTAGCCGTGTCCACCTTGCAGCGACCTCGACCTGCACATGTAGTCCTACATTCCTGTCCGCCCTGATCAGCATTGCAGTTGTGTCCCCGATGCTGTCATGCGACCATCGGCTGGCGAGGCGGTAACACATCCATAATTTGTACATACACCCAGAGACGGGGAAGGAGAACAGCTTGGAGTAGGCAAAGTCTATCATGGACATCTTAACATCCCAGTCATGCTCATTGTTACCAATCTTCCTATGCTGACGCCCGTGAAACAACCAGAAGCACAAGAACCGTAAGATGCCAAAACTATTCGCTGGGGGTTCGGCCAAAACAGGGAAGCCCTAGAAGAAAGACTCCAAACCAAAACACCAGCCATGCTCAATTTCAATGGGCGAGGAATTAAACCAAAACAATCATCATCTTAAGAACAACGTATATCAGCGGTAACAATGGAAATCAAGATAGCATCGTCATATCATCATCATGAGCCAATACGCAATGGCCGGTCAGCTAAACTCGATCTCAGGTACCTGCCTGTGTATAACCCCAGTTATGTACGGTTACGGTGAGCAACCCTTCCCATGTAAACAATGCAGCAAAGAAAACAGCCCTCTGTATCAGCAACCGGGAATTTAACCCACCAGGGATCAGTCGTGAGCCACAATATCGGAATCGAAAAGAAAACAATTCTCTAATGACGTTTATATTTCTGGAGAGATAACGTCAATCCATGTTAAAAGAATTGGGGGATTGGGGTGCAGATAAACTTACATCTTCCATCTTCCGCCTGTTGCTGGGATCCAGAGTGTTTCCAGCCCCCAGAAGCGTCTGTCCCACGGCCTTTGATACCCCGATTGCAGGACGGAGAATAACCGTCGGCGCCCGCTTCCACACAGCCTTTGCAGCTGCTTTGGCGCTTCCGCTCTCAACGACTTCTCCAGGGACAGCAACGATAGCATCTCGGGTCAGGAGCAAATCGCGTTCTAATCCCCTAAATGCTCCCCGAAGGCCTTGAACGACACCAACGGGCTGGTCCGCATAGAGGGAGATCTTTTTCGCCTCCTCCTCATCAGCTGCATCCTCCTCCGCGCTAGCCAATGGCGCATTGGAGGATGTCAACAGATCCTCTGCGCCTTGCAGGACGGTTTGGGTACCAATGGCGAGTTTGGCACCAAGCTTGACGAGCTCGTTGGATGTAGTCTTGGCAAAGGCGAGTGCCCCCTTCTGTATGCTCCGTACAATGCGACCATCCTTGCGATACTCGCGCATGGGAACGACTACGAGATCCTTCACTCCTCCTCCCACGTTGACCAGGGACCTAATGGGCGCAAGACCAGCGAGGACCCCCGGTAGTTGATTTCTTTTTATATCTGGCATCCATATATCATTCAAGGTCTGGCCAAGCTTGTCAAACCCAGATACTCCATAGATGATGACATGACGCATGACCATATCTGCCCCGTCAAGAACGAAGAAGTTCATAAACTCAGTCGTGCGTCCGGATCGAAGCCCGTTATAATCGACTCGCTTGGGCTTGAAGTCGAGTCTGACAGGAACGGCGTTAATCTCAACTCTCTGTAAAAATGGTATGTCTTGCGGGGCGCTAGGGGTAGGCGCAGAGTCATCTCGAAATTCGAAGAAACGGCACAGAAAGTCGAGAGCGTCTTGATCAACATGAAGCCTTAGGGGCAGAAGAGTGGCCTATAGCATTGTTAGTAAATTCTAGAGAGACGGCTGGAAGGCTTTTCTATTTTACATACCTTTAAGACAATCTCGGACGCAGCGAGCTCAGGCACAGGCCTGACGGTCAAGATCTCCAAGTGCACCATACTGGTTCCACTTTCTTTCTCACCCACTTCATGCATGTAGGTCGCAAATTTCTTCCAGGTCGATGTAGGCACATGATCGAATATCTCCAAGTCATTGACTCGAACATCCAAGGAGCTTTGCGTCTCGCCGGAGTCCGGCGGGAAGACGACAAGATCTGCGCATATACCTTTGAGCTCAAAGGTCATTTTATGATACTTGCTTCTGGACAGCCGCAGCTTCTTTCTGAAGGAAGGCGATTGGCTTTGTCGTACCGTAGCTCCCGTGACTGTAGTGGTGGTTGCATAGCTGCCAGTCTCACTGACAAGATCATCAATGTTGCGGTTGATATCGCTGCGAAGCTCTCGCGGATCCTTGTTGGCAGGAATACCTATATATATTGAGTTAAACAGACAGTCGCCGATGACTGACTCCTCGTCCTCGTCGAAGCTTGGGGAGCTCGATTCGCCCTTGCTCGCCGGTCTGTAGCCTTTCTCTCCACATCTTTGACCGCCTTTGATATAGTATCTCTTGTCCGCTGCCAGTCATAGCCATCGAATAGGTTCCAGATGACATGGGCATCACGGACCCTGATTCGCAAAGGGCTCTTCTGAAGCTTCGTGTCGTCCGAAAGGCCATAGGTGTTTTCGGTAGAATCCCATCTGTGCGCCGTACCCCCAACAGCTGACTGTGTTGCAAAGTGGTCATCCCGGAATTCAAGGTCGGAAACACTAGACGATACATAGTACTGAGAGTGAAAACTATCTAGAAGCTCGTTTGACCCTGAGGCCGTCATAGCATCGTGCAGAGATCCTGCTCCAGATGTTGGCTTCGCTGGATAAAAGTCACTTACGTACTCGACTTCATCCTCAATATGGCCCTGCTTATCCTGGAAGTTCTCGGCGGAATCGCCGGTTGTCTCAGAGGAACCTTCAGGATCCGACATTGAATCTAGAGCAAAGGCATCACCGGAAAACGATGCTAGCATGTCTTGAAGTGGAAGAACCTCAGTCCGATACTTCTTGGTCACGCTTGGAGGAGTAGGAGGCTGAAGTCCATTCACTATGCTGATGAGAGTTTGTGTTGAATCGGCACATGTTTCAAGAATCAGCAAGTCATCCCTGAGTTCCACATCTAACGACTGTGTCCCGTCTTCGCTCGAGCGTAGTAGTTTCACGCTAGCCGTTGCTGATGATATTGATGAAACGGTGACAAAGCCCATGTCAATGAATGATTGGACCTGGCTACTCGGTGGGGAAGTTGAGTTTCTACGATGCGGATCGTCTGTGTTCCCCATATTCCGAGCATCGTCAATAATCATGATTGATGCTTTGCGGAGATCTAGCGTGGCCTCAGAGGACGCTTCATCGCCTACAGCACCCGAGAAATTCGCGTTCGTGAGCACAACAAGGCCTTTTGCTTCTGAGCCACGAGGGTTGAGACCAATGACGCAGTCTCGCAGGGCTAATGCCAATCTAGTGGGTCGTACAGGAGCTTTAGGGCTTCCCGGTTGTATTGCTGGTTCAGAATCTTTTGAAGGCTGTAGCTCCGCCAGATTACCTAGGGACTGTGCCATATTGGCAGCAACATCACCGGTTGTCGTACTTTCACTAAGACCGAGAAAGGCAATCGCTGCTGGAACTGTGTACTCTGCACGTAGGTTATGCATCTTGACCTTGATGGTGGGTTCCATTTCATCGGCAATGAAACGGGCCATGAGCATGGGGTGCGGGATTTCACCTGATCTTTGCTCGGCGCTCAACGGTAGCGCTTCCCCTAAAAGCTCCTCGGTTCCGTTTCTGAGGACCATCGCCGATCCAATTTGAGCGGCTACAAGCGAAGGAATGCTTATATACGCCACCTCGGCATTCTTGAGGCGTGCGCTTATATCGCCGACTTTGCCCCCAACATTTACCTGGACTTCAAAATCTCGGATGAGATTTAAAGTCAGGAGACCCGGCCGGTCGTCTTCAGGCAAGTATTTTGCAACATTCGACAACCTACTTAGCTCGTCCCCAAGCTGCGGCAGTGAGTCAAAGTCAGTGGTGCGCGAAATCATGATATTCGCCCCAGCGATTGTAGTACGAAGCACAGAGCCTTGTCGTCGCTGTCGGAAAAGCGTATCCAGCATAATGTCATCGTCTTCATCATATTTGTCCTTAGA